CTCCCTGGTTCTCTGGGTGTTATTGGGGTGTTTCCTGGGGCTGTAACACCGACAGAGGCCTTCCTGGTTCTCTGGGTGTTATTGGGGGTGTCTCCTGGGGTTGTAACACCGACAGAGGCCTCCCTGGTTCTTTGGGTGTTATTGGGGGGGGCCTTCCTGGTTCTCTGGTTGTTATTAGGGTGTCTCCTGGGGCTGTAACACCAACAGAGGCCTCCCTGGTTCTCTGGGTGTTATTGGGGTGTCTCCTGGGGCTGTAACACTAACAGAGGCCTCCCTGGTTCTCTGGTTGTTATTAGGGGGTCTTCTGGGGCTGTAACACCAACAGAGGCCTCCCTGGTTCTCTGGGTGTTATTGGGGGGCCTCCCTGGTTCTCTGGGTGTTATTGGGGTGTCTCCTGGGGCTCTGTGTTCTGGAAAGCGGGGTCAGTTCCCGCTGTGCAGTGGCCAATCTCACGTGCTGGGACGAGACATGGATTATTATTATTATTATTATTATGGATCATTTGGGAGTTGAGCCCAAGGCTGGGTGCCTGGTGCTTTCCCACAACCCTCCACACGATTTTCTTACGTGTTTTACAACGTCATTGTAATACGAGTGTCTCCTGCCTGTGTTTGATTGGTTAGCAATTTGCCTACAATTACACCATTGTGTTACTGCCGTTCCTGCAAACGGACAGATAAAACTCTCTAAGACTCAATTTATTAAGTTTCAGAAAGCAGGCATTCACTGGGAGCACAGGGGATCACTCCTCCTATTGTACTCCCCAAATGCTGTCATCAAGCCAGATTTATACACATCAGGTCTACGTAGTCAATGTAATGCCAAGAAAACATTAGCATATTCATTAACATTTCTGGGAATTCATTTACGTATTATAATGATCTTTTGGGCATGTGCAGTCGTGTCTCCTGGTGGTCCTCACCCTGAGTGAGGGTTGTTTCTTCCTCAATCTTCATCTTCTCCATCTGTTCTTTGGCTCACTTTTCATATCGGCAAAACATTCTAATTGCTTAATTAGCCATTAGAACTAACGATCTTCCTGCTACCGTTTGTCGGACAATGTCCATCTTAATTCCATCCTTTTCTTAGGCCACCGTGTTCTCAAGGCCACAGGCATCCTTTCTAATCTTACCAAGTCCTGGGGAGGATTTGGGCTGGTTATTAAAATAGCTCAATTTTTCTCTAAAAGAACATTCTCTACGGTTTAACCATTTATGGAAAACGTGAAGTCTGCTTTTGGTATCACAGCTACTGCACGTGCTCGAGGGAAGGGTGTTCCCCTGGGCAAAGGTCTTCTTGATCTCTGGTCGTGATTTTTAGTGTTGTCACAGAATGATGTGGCGTTGGAAGGGACCTCTGGAGATCATCTTCTCCAACCCCCTGCCAGAACGCTTGGTCTGTGAAGGGATTCTCGTTTTGCAAAACATTATCTAAGTGAAGAAAAACGGATTTGGGTTCCTTCAACACAAGAACCCAAAGGCTAGGGGAGTATCATTAAGACCAGAGAAACCAGTCTTGGGCGATAAATCTGCCAAGTGGGCTGTGAAGACTGCCAGGTAGACCAGGTTCATCGAGAAGACAACTGATGAAGAGGAGGATACGACCACCTGATGAAGTAAATGACCACCGGAGTGCTCGTAATGACCAACAATGGACAGTAGACGGTAGAAAAGACTGAACTAACGTGTGTCCCCAGGATCTAGCAGGGACACAGGTATTTCAGGCTGGAGAGGTGGCCCCAGGTGACCCTCAGGAGGGTCACCCAAGTGCAGGGTTCTGCACCTGGGCCGGAACAATCCTCGCTATCAATACAGACTGGGGGATGGGGTAAGAGAAAGCAGCCCTGAGGAAAGGGACTTGGTGTTGGTGGATGAGAAGCTCAACATGAGGACAATGTGCCCAGAAAGGCAACCCCATCCTGGGCTGCATCAAGAGAAGCGTGGCCAGCAGGTCACGGGAGGTGATTCTACCCCTCTACTCTGCGCTCGTGAGACCCCACCTGGAGCTCTGTGTCCAGCTTTGGAGTCCTCAACACAGGAAGGACATGGACCTGTTGGAACGGGTCCAGTGGAGGGCCACAAAGATGATCAGAGGGATGGAGCACCTCTCCTATGAGGACAGGCTGAGAGAGCTGGGGTCGTAGAGCCTGGAGAAGAGAAGGCTCCAGGGAGACCTCAATAGCAGCCTTGCAATATCTGAAGGAGCTACAGGAGAGCCAGGAAGGGACTTTGTCTGGAAGCGTAGAGACAGGACAAGGGGTATCAGTTTTAAGCTGGAAGAGAGAAGATTTGGATGAGATATTAGGAACAAATTCTTTCCTGTGAGGGCGGTGAGGCACTGGAACAGGTTGCCCAGGGAAGTTGTGGTTGCCCCACAGACAGCCAGGGGGGAGGGACTTTGAGCAGCCTGGTCTGGTGGAGGTGGCCTGATGAAGTAAAGGACCTCCAGAGTTCTTGTAATGACTAGCAGAGGACAGAAGACGGTAGCAAAGACTGTGAAATAACCTGTAGCGTAATCAACTCATCAAAGGCGTGTTTAGGATAATGATTTCTTAGAGTGGGTGTGTTTATGCTTTACAAGGTGAAAAGGTGTGAGCTAAACCTGGAATAGGTTGGGCGGTCGGGAAGAATGTGAGCTCCAACGTCTCAATAAATAATCTTAAATCGTCTAATAAACATATTTATACTTTTTAATCTTTGTTTCGGCGTCTTTGTTCTCTTTTAACTTCTAAGTGCGAGCTGGCGTTTTCTCACATCTCTTTCTCTCTCAGTGTTATTGTTGTTTTCTTGTTCCCTTTGCTGTTCTGGAGTAGGTGTGTTTATGCTTTACAAGATGAAAAGGTCTCAACTAAACCTGGAATAGGTTGGGCCATCGGGAAGAATGTGAGCTCCAACTTCTCCAACCAGTGATAAGAGAGACAGAACCCCCAGGTGGCCCTGATAGGGTCGAAGTACCTAAAAAGGGAAAGATGAAGGGTGCCTCTGCTTTGAGATGCACCTGATTCAGCGCTGTTTCGTACAAATTTTTTGAATAAACCTTTAATACTTTTTAATCTTTGCTTTGGCGATGTTGTTCTGTCTTAACTTTCTCTCTCAGTGTTATTGTTGTTGTTTTCTTGTTCCCTTTGCTGTTCTGTTGAATTGCCTTTGTCTCAACCCATGGGTTTTGCCTTTTTCTTCCCATTCTCCCCTTGTGGCCGTGGTGGCGGTGGGGGGTCTGGTCTGAGAGAGCGGCTGCCACCTGGTTCTTTGAGGCCAACCCAGGACAGTTCTAATGTTGAGGTTGTAACTGGTTTCTGCTGCGTAGGTACCTTTCCTGGCGCACACAATAAATGCTGGTCCCCACTCTCCCAGTTCCTGGGCCTCCTCTCCTCCTCTCCTGGGCTGCTCTCCCAGCCTCGGGTCCAGGGCTGGACTGGTTTGGACTGGGATAGGGGTGGTTTTCTTGCTCTCAGCCCAGCGAGGAGGTTTGGATGCAGGTCGACCACCCCTGCTCTGTTCATTGTGTTGGGAAATGGATGCTGTGTGACACGATGATGAATTCTGTGAGCTGGTGGCACCAGGCCTGGCTGGCACAGACCAGCTGGGACCCCACGGTGACACCCGGGCTCAGGAAGGCGATGCCAGGGAAGCCCTTCTGTGTCCCTGCTCCCACCAGGACCTGCAGCCTGTCCCCAGGAACTGGGGAGACAAACGCAGCCTCAGGGAGCCCAGGGACCGTTCCTTGGACCCCAAGAGGGCCAGCGGCCTCCTTGTGAGGGACAAGGGACACACTGAGGAGATAAAGGAGGGAGGAAGGCAGATGAGGGAGGAACAGAGATCTTCCCTTTTCCCTTCAGCCCAACTCCACCAGTCAAGGCAGAAACCCCAAGAGGGCCAGCGGCCTCCTTGTGAGGGACAAGGGACACACTGAGGAGATAAAGGAGGGAGGAAGGCAGATGAGGGAGGAACAGAGATCTTCCCTTTTCCCTTCAGCCCAACTCCACCAGTCAAGGCAGAAACCCCAACTCCCAGGAGCTGCTGGAGCCCCAGCTCTCCATCCTGGCAGGGAAATCACAGACTCACATGGTGTTGGCAGGGACCTCTGGAGATCATCTCCTCCAACCCCCTGCCAGAGCAGGTCCACTCAGAGCATGTCCCACAGGAACTTGTCCAGGGGGGTTTTGGATGTCTCCAGAGAAGAAGACTCCACCACCTCCCTGGGCAGCCTCTTCCAGGCTCTGTCACCCTCACAGGAAAGCAGTTCCTCCTCATGTTTAGGTGGAACTTCCAATATTCAGGTTTGTGCCCATTTCCTCTTGTCCTGTCACTGGGCATCACTGAAAAAAGACCGGCCCCATCCTCCTGACACCCACCCTTGAAGTATTTATAGGTGTTGATCAGATCTCCCCTTCTCCAGTCCCTCAGCCTCTCCTCAGCAGAGAGATGCTCCAGGCCCCTCATCATCTCTGTAGCCTCTGCTGTCCCCTCTCCAGCAGTTCTCTGTTCATCTTGAACTGGGCAGCCCAGAACTGGTCCCAGTGCTCCAGCTGGGGCTTCCCCAGGGCAGAGCAGAGGGGCAGGATGACCTCCCTCCACCTGCTGCTCACACTCTTCCTGATGCCCCCCAGGATGCCATTGCCCTTCTTGGCCACGAGGACCCATTGCTGGCTCATGGCCATCCTGTTGTCCACCAGGACTCCCAGGTCTTTCTCCTCAGAGCTGCTCTCCAGCAGGTCACCCCCAACCTGTCCTGGTGCAGGGGGTTATTCCTCCCCAGGTGCAGCACCCTACACTCCCCCTGGTTGAATTTGAGGGTGGTTGACCTTAGGAGACTCAGGAATCTTCACTCTCCTTCCAAATTGGCTGAACTTCTCCGAACGGGCAGATTAGTACCATCCTCCAGGTCCTCCTGCTGGATGTGCCCCCTGAAGAACGACCCAACACTTGTTCCCCTCCATTAGGGGTGATTTTCATGAACTCGTGCTTGATAGATCCAAGGATGGAGCCCTCGTTATCCATGGGAATATCCATAAGGCCTTTCAACGCTAATTACTAAAAACGATTCCAGGATGTGCTTTGGGAACACAACCAGCAGAGACCTCCGTGTGCTGGGGGTGTTGTGAGGTCTCCGGGAGGGTCTACACTCACAACTCAATTAAGGTGGAGATACTCATCCACCACGGATGCTCGTCCACACCAGGGATTGGGGATGTGAAGGTCCCCCTGGGCTGCGGTGACCATGGGATGGTGGAGCTTGGGATGCTGAGGAGAAGGGGGGTGACAAGCAAGGTCAGGAGAGCAATTTGAGTTCTTCAAAGCTGTGCTTGGAAGAATCCTTTGGGATAAGGTCCTGGAGGGAAGGGTGTTTCCAAAATGGGTTTCCTTGGGTTTTCTTTCTCTTCCAGCTCGTGGGTGGGTGGGGGACAGAAGGCAGCAGAAGGTGGCACTGGCTCAAACCACCGGTTTGCTCTGGTCTCTTCTCACAGCAAACCCGTTTGAGGGGGTGAAGTCACTCTTGGCCAAGTTCTCCTGCACAGGTCTTCGAAGGGAACTGCTTGATGTTCAGGGGTGAGCTCCTCCAAGGATCCTGGCCAGTATCAGCTGTAGTGTGGCCAGCAGGACTGGGGCAGTGACCGTCCCCCTGGACTGGGCACTGGTGAGGCCCCACCTGGAGGGCTGGGTCCAGTTTTGGGCCCCTCACGACAGGAGGAGAAGAAAGAGCTTCTGGCCCAACTCAGCCCCAAAGGGAAGGGAGGATGGAAGGGAGGATGGAAGGGACAGTGGTGACCAGGAGGAACCAGGAGACCCCACCCCAGCATTGAGGAATGATGTCAGGAAAGCCAAAGATGAGGGACATGGAAGATGCCAAGAAGAACATCTTTAAGGACATGGTGCCGAAAGGAAGAGCAGGGAAAGCGTGACCCCCCTGCTGAACGGGACGGCTGCAGGAAGGGTCCCCTCGGGGGGGGCTCCTGGCACAGAGCACCCCAAAACCTCACAGGAGGCCCCGGGCTCTCTCGGGGGGTCGTTCTCTTGAGCGTCCTGGCTTTTCTCTGGAACCCACCGGGTACGAGGGTGTGAGGGACATCAAGGGTGGGGGACAGCAGGAAGGAGGGACACAGGGTGTCAAAGCCACCCCAGGGGAGCCGTGGGGCGAGGGACAACGGGGTCCCCCCCCGGGGGGACAGGACGCCGGGGTTCCCCGGAGGGAGGGGACAAGACCGGGGCCGGGGG